GCAGTAGTAATGAACACGCTGTTCCTCTCGCACTCTTTATTGGACAATAGAGTTTCCATAATTCCAGACACATCCGTCACACGTCTCACGTCTTATCGTCTTATCACACCAATAACTGTTTATCAGAGATTTCAACACTCCAGGCGAGGTTTATGAGTCCAGACTTCTGAATGAGTCGTATGATCAGAACCAACTCTAGTTCACTCTATGAACCAAAGAAATGAGTTAAATATACATCCATGCTCTTCTCCAGCGATGCTAACAAAATATGTTCTAAAAACGTTTTACTGACAAGTTATGAAAACATTATTTCCGAATGTTCTCTGAAACATCAGATTTTGGAATGTGTAAAAAGCATTGTTTCTTGGTTATGTGAATGTTAAAGTCGGCATTACAGGGAACGTTCCATTTGATTATTTTGCAAACATTATGGGAATGTTACTTTTGATTGTTTTCTAAATCATCTTAGACGAACGTCCAACTATAAAACATTCCATAAATGATGCATAAATAATGTTTTGGAGAACATTATTAAAGGGATAGTTCACCCAAAAATGAAACTTCTGTCCTCATTTAGTCGCCCTCATGTTGTTCCAAACCTGAATACGTTTCTTTCTTCTGTTGAACACAAAAGAAGATATTTTGAAGAATGTTGGGAACCAGACAGTTGACGGTAGCCATTGACTTCCATAGTATTTTTGACAGTGGGCTCCGTCAACTTTTTGGGTTCCAACATTCCTCAAAATATCTTCTTTTTGTTTTGTGAATGAATGACAGAAGGTGAACTGTGACTTTAAACATCAAATAACATTGAATTAAAACATTTATTTAATTTCTTTTACCCTGCATTTTACGTTGAAATACTTTGTCAGTGTTTGGCAAACATCATAAATATTATTATACGTTCCTACTAAATAATTATAGCGAATCATACTTCATTAAGACTAAATAATTCCTAGTTAATTCTGTATAAAATGATCAAGTGTTGAATTAAATTCTTGATCATTTCATCAATAAATAGTAATCAACCAGACCAGCCTCCAGTCAACTTATTAATGAATCAATTGTAATTGGAATAAAGTCAAAGTTTGTTATTGTTATTGCAACATTGCATATTTCTTATCCTTGTCATTGCTTGTTTTGTGTATAATGCTCTGGAATATGATATGAATATGGTTTTTAAAACCTGAAATAAGGAACATTATCCTTGAGACATCTACTGGACAAAACATGAAGTTCAGCAGCAGACACTGACTGATCTGATGTCTTATAGCGCCACCTGCTGGATCTATTCACACAAAACACACAAACACAGAAGAACAAACAACACACACAAAGTCATTAACCCCGTAAAGCCTACTGTAAATGATCAAACTCTCCATGTCTTGTCTCTGGTTGATAGTTTAGAGTGTTTTATCCAGTCAAAGCTCTTTTAGTGTAACTGCTTCAGCTGGAGCTTCTCGTGTCAAATCTTGACTGATTTTGATCAAGTAAAGGTCAGAATAACTGCAGTAATATCTCCAGATGAACACTTACTGGACTGAAGCAGCTCAGCTTTACTTGATTCTCCATCAATCATGTTTTAGAGTCTCAAATCTGATCCTCAGGATCTTTTGAGGAGCGTTTGTTTCCAGAAGCTTTACTTTCACTGTTCCTCAGCGGAGGAATGATCTTCACAAGCCTCCAGAACATCTCACATCTTCTGAGGAGACTTTATTTCTTCAGCTCTCAATCACTGCATTATATGTTTGGAGCATTTCAATCTCATCTTACATTACTGGAGATATAGAGCGATGACTGATATTTATAGCATTTTATGTCAGTATCTGCTGCACTGTTAGAAAGATCTCACTGATTTACATTACAAACATATAAACAGCATTAAAGGCAGCGCAAGTCCATTTCTGAGGTGCTTTGTATTCATATATTTTATTTTATCAACATTTTTTATCTTTAAAACCACAAAATACATAAACCACACAATGTATACGAACACAAAGGAGGAATAAAAAAAAACAACAATATGCACATGCATTACTTTATAAAATGTTTTATTTGTTTAATTGGCAGCTAATTGAAATGCATGAGATTGTATAAGATAGTGTGTTATAGACACTGTCCCAAAGAGAAACACGGTAACACTTTCAGGATCTGATATAAATAAAAATAAAAGAGTGACACGTAAGCGGTCTTTACTGAAGATAACAGGTGTTTGAGCCACACACACGAGCACATCTGAAGCACAGTCACTAACTCTGATCCTCGATGTAAATATGTTCATACTGCAACCGCAGAGAAAACATAAGAGCTTCAGTCACCCATGACAAAGAGTTGGAGAGAAAGTCCTTCTTTGGAAATGCCTCTTCTCACACGGAAAGCCTTCAGTGATTTGATTAAAAGCCCAGAAACTCATTCGTCCAGACTGTGAAACGAACTTAAAGCAACATGAAGATGAAGATGAGCAGACATCTGTGAACCAGAGCGGCATCTGGTTTCATCTTGTGCTCAATATCACAAAATCAAAAGTGCATCAGATGCATTCTGATGCAGATGTTTTGTATTCCAGATGTAATTATCAGGGCGTTTCAAACATGAAGGCAACAGAGCTTACACACACGCACACACACACACACACTCTCTCTCTCACACACACACACACACACACACACACACTCTCACACAGACACTCTCTCACACACACTCACTCACACACACACACACACTC